TTCTCCCAATCGCATGTGGACTTCACCTGCCCTATCCCCTTACTTCCTTAAGGACAATATGATGGGTACCATCCTTTGCCGGTTCGCACCCACCCCTTTCCTACCTAGGGTCTTTTTAGTGTTTATTTGTTTTTGAAAGAGAGGGAGACCGAGAATCCCAAGCAGGCTCTGTGCTGTCAGCCCAGAGCCAGCTGTGGACCTCACACTCAAGAGCCAGGAGCTCATGACTTGAGCACAACCAAGAGTCACATGCTTTATTGACTAGGGAGCCACACAGTCACCCCTTACCTAGGATCTTTTATTCAGACGCAAGAGATAATGTCAGCAATGTGTATAAATACTGTGCTTTAATGAACTCCTTAAATAGAAATGTCAGTGTATAAAATACACAATTGGAAGAGACAGTGCATCTCCCATACCCACTGCGTGCCCATAGAAAACCAAAGGGAAGAAACAAATTGGAGTTACGCAGCAAGAGGAGGTGAGAATGAGGTCTGTAGGCCATCGTGTTAAGACTGATGGACAGCATCTCTCACAATTTAACAGCTGGATATCCAAAGGGATAAAATTGCCCTGGAAAAAAGGTTATCATGTTCTAGATTGCTTTTGTTTCTTAATTCCTCAAACCACAAGAAACCTATCTTGAACCAAACAGGACAGGGCAAGAGTTGGAGAAGGTTAGCACCACACACTTGCAACAGAAAGGTCAGTGAGCTTGTTGAGTGCTGGAGTGTCAAAAGCTGAGACAGCAAGACCAGATAAGAAGAATCAGAAGGTTAGAACCCTCCCTCACTCTGGACCACCCTCTGCCATGCCCATAAAACAGACAGTAATTAAGGGGCACCTGGGTCGCTCAGTCGGTTAAAAAAAAAGACAGTAATTTCAGCGGGATTGGGAGAGAATGGTATTTGGGTCTCTTTTCTTGGAATGATCCTCAGGAGATATTCTTGGTGTCCATTTCCTTAAAAGCTCCTGAAGATGGGATAGCTCATCCTGGAGGCCAGAGATTGTGGGAGCTGAGAGGCCTTTCTGGGGAGGGGGTAAAGAAAAGCAGAGAGGAATATTATTGTAGCTCTAGCTCCCTGTTTCTGAGATCTCTGTCCACTACTGGCATCATTTTTTTTTTTTTAAGTATAATTAACTACAACATCCTGTTAGTTTCAGGTGCATATTCTAGTGATTTGGTATTTTTATACATTACCAAGTGATCCCCATGACAAGTCTAGTTACCATCACCGCTGGCATCTTTAATTCTCTCTTCCCCCTCCAGCTATGCCTTAGGTTCTACTTGATCTGAGCAACAACCATCTGCATCCCCACCACATACACACTCCCAAACCTATCCACTTGGAGTCCAATAGGAATGGTACTTCACTTCTCGATCTCCCCAGGCCCTTGCTTTTCCACTCCTAGAAACATTTACTTTCTCCTGAAACATCTGGTTTAGTAGTCAAGCCCGTTCTCCCACTCCCAATCCCTGTCTTCCCTCCTCACCTGGACCTCAGGCCTTCCCCTCAAGTAGCAGCGTCTCCACAGCCTGATCTGGGGTCCCAGATATCCAGGCAGCAGCAACCCCGGGGGTAAAGGGCAAGCCCCCCAATGTGAGGGGAGCCCCCACTCCTGATCAGCCAGGCTTTCAGAGGAGATAGCTGCTCGAGGGAGCCAACGAGAAGAGACTGCCAGCAGGGAAGGATTGTCCCGCCAAGGACAGAGCTGATTGAGGGGAGTCAGGGCCCCTCTGGAGAAGAGCCACACAGAACTGGGGGGTCCAGGAACCATGAAGCTTGGCTAAAAGGAAAAGAGAAATCAACTGGCAACCTAGAAACTAGATGACCCTACTTTCCCCAAAATGGGTCAGGAAGGAATGTCTAACTGCCACCTACTCACACTGCATTAGTGATTGAACTACAGGCCTCCCCCTGAGAACTCTATCTTCTCTCCTCATTAGGCTTCAAACTTCAAACTAGGCCTCAGGTCTCATGAAAGTCAATTTTAGGGAAACTTGTAAAATGTGTGTAAGAGACAAAAACTAATAAAGATGAGGACAAGAAGGCTGCCCTCTGTGCTATTCTAGGATTTCTGCCTAATCGGGAATGTGAGGGTGTCAGGAACCCTGGCACTGGCATGAAGAGCAAAATATGTGACAGCTACAGAGGAAGTGTGGGGCAGCTTTCCCTGGGGAACTCAGACATGAGTTCATGGGAACTGTGTCTTTCTACTTCTCCTTGTCTAATAGGATGAGCCTGTGAGAAAGGCAAAGGAATTTAGGAAGTGTAGACATCTCACCTGCTGTCTGGGAAGCCAGGAATCTGGGCAGTGTTCTGGGTCATAGCCAGGATTATGGAATTGTAGTATCTGTTCACTGTTGTAGCGTAAATCCCAGTCCCAGACAGATAGCTGCGAGTTAACAGAATTCCCAGCAGGGAGTTGGCAGTACCCTGGGTTATAGATTTGTGTATAGGAGTTGAACTGGACAGAGAAAACAAGAAAAAGGATGGTAAAACAAACAAAATAATCCTTTTCCCAAGTCTGTATAGAAATCATGAAACGCTCACCTCTTCCTCTGGGAATCAGATGTAGGGTGAAAGTCCAGCCGTGAGAATGGGCACCAACCTCCCCCTTTCCCATCCACAGACCTCACTTTCCATAAATTAAGACTAAACTTCAGAGGGTACTTCTCAAGGAAAAGAAAAGACAAATCAAAACTGGAACTCACTGACCTGTCCACCCTGTTTTCCACGCTCCCAGGGAGTATCTCTCAGGAATGTGAGGGTGTCAGGAACCCTGGCACTGTCATGAAGAGCAAGAAGGAAAAACTCTGAGAATTCAAACTCAGCTGGAAACTGCTGGAGGAGCTGCCAGACACAATCAAGGAAGAGGAGAAACACTGGAGCCTGAGAAGGAGGAAATTAAGAGGTTAGGAGGGATTGTGGGCACCTAAAAGAGGAGGATGACAATGACGAGGGACGAGAGACACAGACAACAGGGCCACTAAGATCAGGGAATGGAAATCCGATTGAGGGTAGTAGGGAGTTGCGGTGCTTCATTCATCTAGGTCTCCAAGCTTAGCCTAATCTCAGGAACCTTCTAACCTGATTTCACCTCCAGTGGATTATACTATATACTTTTCTCATCCCCTTACATCTTTGGTAATACCTCCCCCCACTACTCTCCCAAAATGATCTCACCTCTTCACTGGCTCCAGTTACCCCAAGTCGGGTCAGGAAGGGGTGTCCAGCTGCCACCCACTCTCGCTGCACTAGTGATTGGAAGCCAAGCAGTGTTCGGGCTTCAGGGACTGAAAGCAGCTGGACGAGTGAAGAGAGGAGGCCATTGAAATCACGATCACCGCGCTCTGGGTGATAAAGAGGGAGAAGGGACAAAGAAGAGGGGCCACGAAACTAGGGCAGAAGAAAATGAGGAAAGGAAACGTGGCAAGAAGAAGAGAGAGGTACAGAGGGTTAAAGTTTTGGTAGGTAGGATTGAGAGGGCAAATAGAAGAGAAAATAAAGACCTTGAATGATTCAGTCCATGACTCCACCTGGATTGAAATACCCAGCTTCACGTGCAGGAGGTAGAATCACAAATCTCAAACCAGCTTCTCCATTGTTCTTCCCACCCCAACCCTGGTCACCATCCACTGATGGAAGTACGAGGAACAGAAGATGAATAACCCTACTGTTAGGGACCACAAACTGTAGCAGCACTAGAGCTAGTAGTAGTACTACTACTGTGAGGCACAGGTAGCACTGAAGAATGATTTAGGTAGGGCCCATGGGTAGTTCCTAGTAACAGGATAAGGTCTTAGCACTAGAAGAGGACAAGGAAAACTTCTAGGTCTCCCTCCCACTTGGGTGAGTAAAGGAAAAAGGAAGGAATGGAGTAGGTTAACCCAAGAAACTCACCTTGTAGTACTACAGAGCGAACCCTGGATGTCACTAGGACTGAGATGTCACTGGCCTTTCGAAGACAAGACCTAGTGGGGCAGAGGAGAAAAAGGAGAGAAGAATGATAAGCTTGGAGGAAGGGAGTGATGGGTCATGGGATGGAATAGACGCAGACTCCAAAATTCCGCCCCTTCCTCCTTCTAAGGAGCAGCAAAAAAAAAAAGAGTCTTCTTGAAACCAAAGAGAAGAGTTAATGGAAGGCCATTTAGGAGTTCAAGTTAACAGAAGGTTGGGGAGGGTTGAATTATAAAACATAGCTAGAACATGAGACAGTACCTGACATAATCCAACCATCGTGTTCCTTCCAGGGCTGAGAGCCATTTCTCCTCAGCTGCAGATGAATCTGAGAGAGAGTAGAGGGGTCAGAAGGACAAAGAGATTGGGAGAACTCAGGATTCATGATTCAGGATCTGCTCCTGAGGCTACTAAAATGAATCATACATAGTTGTACAACCTTGTAAATGTAATAAAATTAACCAAACACTTAAGATGGGCGAAGGGTGGGTTTTATGGTATGTAAATTATATGTCCGCAAATAAAGCTGTTACAAAAAAGAGAGAGGATACTTTGAGGTCAGGAAGACAGGAAATCTGAGTCTGTGGGAGATGAGAGTGGAATAGAAAACGAAGGATTGGGCTGCAGGGTTGGTTACTCTTCTGTAACAGGCAAAAGGGTAAAAACCAGGTTAGGGTCAGCAGACCTGGGATGGAGGTAGGGCCCAGAGGTTATCTCACCAGGCAGGCAGAGGGCCCTCAGCCTCAAGTGGGCAAGTTGGACATCTGCAAGACTAGGCAGCTCATCCACGGTGTCCACCAGGACAACATCTGAATGCCCAGCCTGAAGCATCGACTCCACTGCTCTGGAAGGGAGGGAGTCACAACGTAAGGGAACAAATCTGCCCTGAACCTCCAACCCTTGATTCTACTCATCAAACCTTCCCTCACCTGATATCCTCCTTGTTAGGGTCGCTGGCTGTATAGAAGCCACCACAGCGGAGAAGATCACTGCCCCCAGGGTGATGCCAGGACAGACGCTTCAGATGGTGGGAGGTTAGGATCACCATGGGAGAAACTCCTAGCCCCACCCTGTCCTGCCCCCACACTGACCTCCCTCAACAATGATCCCCCCTGACCCCTCCCTCCCCCATAATCATCTAATCCCAAACCATCACCCTGGTGCTTATACTGACCGGTCCACGGCCCTGATGGAAGTGGCCAAAGGCTCTCCTGACTTCACTGTCCAGGGTTCGCTTAGGGACCCAGAAGTAACGGGGGAGGCTGTGAAATTGAGAGTGTGTCACAGCTTAGCTCAGTGACCTCGTTATAATGCAACCTGTCATTATCAGGAAGTTGCTTAGGAGGGCATTATTCCCAGGAACCTCAAGTTTGGAGATCTAGGTGGTAAGGGGGAAAGCTTTGTGGATGTCCTTAGAGGCTGGAATTTGTGGGAAGTCCTAGCTTTAGAGGATCTAAGAATTGTGGGAAGATTGGTAGGGCAGCAGGGGTTGGGGTGGACTTGGGGATCACCTGGTGGCTATGTCGAACCTCTCATTGACGGTGCTGACCCTCCAGCCCCCGGCCCCCTGCTTTTTCCGCTCAGCCTCCCAGTCTTCTGATGTCTCCAAGAGGGGAACAGGTGGTTTTCTGGACCCTGAACTCTGGCCTAGGACAGGAGTGAGGCACAGAAAAAAAGGAAGAGGAACCAGAGAGAGCTTCTCAGCTCTTTTGTCTACAGCCAGCCTCTGCTCTCTCAGATTCTTTACCTTTTCCCTACCCTAAAGCACCCTCACTCACCAGCCTTGCTCAGGGGTATCCCTGCATACTGTTGAACTTGACTATTCTGAGCTCTGGCTTGGACAATGGCCATGGTTACCTGTGGAAGAAAGGACATCACAGCCTTCTGGCTCAGACTGAAGAAGTGTAGAGGATGAAGTGGGGCCCATGTGTTGTTCAACCGTCTTTGCCACCAGTAGAGACACAGGACAACAGCAAAGACAGTCGCTGAGGAAGGGAGCTTCCACAGGTCATGGGGCCTGGGTTCAGGAGAACACATCCAGAATCACGGAACCACAGAATGTGAATTCTGGGAAGAATCTCAGGAACAGTCTCATCCAGCCCTCCCTGTTTTTCAAAGGAAGAAACTTGCCCACTGTCACACTCCTGATAATTGGCAACCCCAGGGCTAGAATTCAGGCCCCTTACTCTTGTGCTTTTAGCCTCTCCTTGAGGAGAGAAGCAGACAGAATGATGAGAGGGGTTGTAAAAGATAGGGCAGTAGTGGGAATACCAGGGAAAGGATCCCCAAGGCTCTGAAGAGGAGTCTTTGGGTTGAAGGTCTCTTACCTGAAAGGCTTGAGGCTCTAGTCCTCCAGCCTCAAAAGCAACTCTGAGCAGCCGGAAGTCTCGGCCATGAATGAGAATCTCCTCAGGGATAAATTTAAGTGGGGACCCTGGACGGAGGAGCTGGACTCTGGACAGGCCACTCACTGAAGTCAAGAGTTAGAAAGCAGTGTAGCCATTGGTCAGAGTCCCTCTACAAGGCAGTCTTCCGGCCCATCCCACTCCATCCCTGTTGCCCTCGGAGAATTGAGAAAGGGTGAGCCCCCAGTGAGCCCCTTCACAAACACCCCACCACCCACTTACCAGCCTCTAATCGCCCAATGTTGACCAGGGCAAAATCATATTCGCTGCTCAGGGGAGTCTCCTAGAGGAAGCACACGACTGATGCCAAAGACACCTGAAATCTTGCTCATTGTCCTACCCTGGCAACCCCCAACCTCCCAAGAGATAATCCCAACTGACCATCCCTGATACATTCAAAAGACAGCCCTTAAGCATAATTCTCCCTGTCTCACTTGTCTAAATCCTTCTAGACCCCCCAGTCCATTTCTCACTAACTGTCCTTTCCATTGCCCTGTCCATCTCACCTGACTCCGCTGCCATCCACAGGGCTGGAAGGTGACCCTCAAGTTGGTGCAGATCAGAGTTCCAGGCAATTCAGGTTCCAGCCCCTTCCTCACCCCTGGGGCCCATGCTAGGATCTGCTCCCCTACAGGGGAAGAAGGAAAGCTAGGTTATGACTATTCCCAGTGTTGCCCACACTGGTATACACCGACTCTTCTGAGACAGGAGGATCCAAAGAGGGAAGATTAAGATCCTCCCCTAACCCCACTAGAAAGAAAGCTTAGGAGGGAATCATTTGTATTCTTTTATACATAGTAGGCACTCAAATACTTATTGGATAAGTAAATGAGAAAAAGAGTAACAGAGTCCAGAAAACAGGGACCATCAAGATCCATGTTCCCAGTCAGCTCTGGACAGGGAAGAGAGCCAGCCTGAGGCAGAAGCACTTTGAGTGGGTAGAAGAATACAGAGGTATCTTTGGTGAAGTTTGAAGCAAGATTTGAGCAGGGTGGAATTTGGAAGAGTCTTTGCAGGTTGGAAGTATTGAAAGGGAAGCTACTACCTGGGAGGCATCCAGAGGCCACGTGACCGTCAAGCTGCCGACTCCTGGGCTCCAGCATCCCAGTCCTCTGGACAAACTTTGGTCCAGAGTGCTGCAAAGGGTGTAGGGTTAATCCCCAGGCCTCTCCAATTCTGGGACCTGGGATTACCTCAGCAGCCACCATTGGAGGCCTACACTCAGGCTCTCAGGGGAAACTGAGATCAGTGGCTGCCAGGGAGTTTAGGACCCAGTTGGCAGACAGTAAAGGGAGGGGCAGGTTAATGGGTAATGAGACGATGAACTTGAGACTGTGAAAAAGACAGACCAAGTTCCATCAACCGAAGTTGATATGGGACCACACCATCCTCCTCTAGATCTTTTTCTTACCCCTCTTTTATCTCCCAATCCTCCTCATTCACCCCCTCCTGCCCACGGTCCCCTTCCCTCCCAAGCCCAAGTTTCCTCTCCTTACCCCCATCTCTGGCTCCTCCTTCTGGGGGGCGATGTTGAAACTCTGGCCCCGGCCCCCCCACCACATTTCTCTGGCTCCATCCGGGGACGGAGCCGTGAAGGGTGGGAAACCTTTAGGATGCTCAAGCCCTTTGGGGAGAGGCTGAATCTTGTAGTTGAGAAGAGGTAGGTGAGGGAGAGGGGCAGGGGGACAGCACTAGGGTAAGGAGCGGTTGTGGTGCTTGGAGCTCGATTAGGGGTCCCTTGAAAGGTGTGTCCAACCCAGCCAGAGGAGGCTCCTCGGAAACTTCAGTCGACTCTGGAGAGGGCGGGAGAGATGCCCAGCCCCTTAAAGGGGAATACACACAATTTTGGAAAAGTGGAGACAAAGTGGAGGAGCCTGGAAAAGGTGAGGAAAAACTGGGTGACTGGGGAAAAAAATGCCCAGATTCATTACCCCAGTCCCAAATCTTATGCTTTCTGTTCACGAGCATTGGAAACTATTTGAGGGGAGCAGTAATGCTGAATATTAACCTGGGATAATTTGGGCTTAATTTTTTTGTCTTCTTAAAGGGAGTGGAGAGGTGGGAGGAATGCAAAAGCAGTTCGGGCCTCTTTACTGCCTCACACCTGGCAAAAGTAGTAGGAAATCGGACCTCAGGGGAGTTTTGCCTGGGGGGGTCCAAGAAATGAGGGAGTTGAGTTAAAGCATTTTGTATATTCTTCTCCAGAGAGCATTAAACATACCTCATGTGGAGGGTGCAGTGAGAATATTGGGGAGAGAACTTGAAATCTCTCCAGGATGCAGACACAAGTACAGGTGTGTTCACGTGCAAGTTCTGGGTTTGGGGCAGGCCCAAGGAAAAGATCTTACCCCCCCCCCCCCCCCCCACACACACACCAGTGGGAAACCAGAGCCCATTCTAGGTACATGACCCCTCCCTGCAACCCAGACACCAGATCTCCAAATTAATGATTCATGTTTAGAACCTTGAAAGTTGAGGGCTGAAAACCTCTATCAGTTCAACAGACCCCCCCTCCCCACCTTACCCCCTGTAACTAGAGAGGCAGAGATGGGTGGGGAGGACCCTAGGAGGGAAATAAAGGAACTGCAGCTGATGGTGCCTGGGTCGGAAGCAAAAATCTGCATTTAGATGTGAAAAAGACAGGAAATGAAATACAAAGTAGGGGTTAATGAGCTGCTATTTTATTGATTTTGAGTCTGTACAGAGGTAGCAGTCCTTAGGTGGGGGCCCCAGTTTTCCAAAGTGACACTCAACTCTCCTCCCCTCAGCACACACACCCTTCCGGCCTTGGCTTTAAAAGTTCCCTGTCTTGGCTGCTACTATGGAAATAGTGAGGATATTATAAGACAGGAAGTTAATTTGGAACAAAGAGGCATACACCTGCTAGGAAGGTGGCCCAGAAGCCTTATTCTAGAAGTCCTAAAAGCTACCAAGCACCCCCAACCCCACCTACTTTCCATGCGCCTCAATCTCTTGGGGGAAAAAATCCTTCCCAAGGTCTCTTGCAGTAGGAAGAGCTGTGTAACCACAATTTTTAAATCCCATTATCCACTTTCCTTCTCCCCACCACCCTGCATTCAAGAGCCTCATTCTATTCTTTAATATTTTGAGGTATAGCAGCAGCAGAGGAATCCAGTGGGAAAATATCAAGGGAATGGGAAGAGGTAGAAGGCAGAAAAAAGTGGGTGACTTGGATCAGCGCAAGGAATGCAAAGGGGCGGCAGCTGAGGGCGAAGTCCTAGGAGGACCATCTCTCGGTACCCCACACACTAGTGGAGATTTTAGTGGATGGAAGGAAGGATGTAGAAGCAAGGGGCTGTATCAGATTTTTCCATTTTCAGAATCCTGGTCTAGCTGCAGGTTTGTGCCAAGAGAGAAGGCTGCTGGGAGGGGCAGCTGGAGGAGGGAGGTGGAGCTGAGTGACTCACAAGATGAGTCACAGATCCAGTTATAAGCACAGAAAGAGGCCAAGGTCCTCCCCACCCCCCACCGCTCTGCACGTTACCCTCGGCCAGCGTCAGCCGGCTTCCGTTCCCCTTTTCCACCGCCCCTTACCCACGTAGCCAGGGAAGGGCGGTGGCTTGGAGAAAGTCTACGTGAGGGACTACGTCATAAGGAAGTATTTCATTACTCAACTTAAGTACAGGGGCAAAACACCCTGCAATTTGCAGGCTGGGTATCCACAAAGTGAGAGGGACAAGAGTGCCTGGACAAGTCACTGAATCTGCAGTTGAAGGGCCTTGGGGGGAGAGGGGGAAGAAATTGGAAAAATCTGGGGTGCAGGTGATTCTGCAGGCCAGGAAGGGGCTTCTAATTGTCTTCTCACGTGTGTCTGGGGCACTGACTGCTTGGAGAAAGAAGAGGACACAAAGTCCAGAGTAACTGGTGTCCAAGGAACGCAGGGACAATCATCTTAGAATCTCTAATGGGAAAGATGAAATGGGACGAACCTTAGATGTGTGGTTGTTTAGAAAGGAGCAAGAATGGCAAAAGCTAGGTTCTCAGAGATCATTCAGAACCAGCTCCATTTTTCCTGCCTAGGTGTCACCTCCCAAGTGCATAATACGAAGTCATGGCTGATTTTTGTTTTATTGGTCTGTGAGCTTTAGTTTCTCTTAAGAAACTGAGCCAACAGGAGAGGGCTCTGTACAGCACCGAGTTTAACACCATCCCCACTCCATGAAGAGATTGAATCTTTAAAAAAATGTTTTTATATAATGTTTTTATTTTGTTGATAGAATCCTGTATGAGGGAAAAACTTTTGATTAAATTTTTTAACTCTCAACAAAATGAGCGCAGGTTAAGGTAGGAATCTGGAGGCCTATCCTATAGTATACTTGCTGCATCAGGGCTGGGGTGGAGAACGTAGGGTGGAGGGGTAGTGCTGTCTTCAAAGGGGAAAAATAACCCTAAGTATTTCCCTTCTCCAATAAAAACCTCAGTAGACACCCCCCGTGCCCTGGATTAAAGGAACTAAGTGCACTTATTTAAGCCTGAGAGATACCATCCCTCAGCGAGGGTTACGGGATCTGCCTCCCCCTTCACCCATGTACCCTTCCTTAACCAAGGAATTCTTGCTCATTTTGGGCCAACGTCACGGACCCCTCTCCTCCCTTCTCCTGAGCACAGTAATTGCATGGGCCTACCTCTCCCCCACCCCCTCATCTTCCCAAAATACCACAAACCAACCAGAGTCTGTTTTCATTCCCCAGGCATTATTCCTTCACCCTCCATCCCACACAACCCCCTCAAAGAATAAAGCAAAAACAGTCTACTCATCCCTATAGAAAAACATCCATGGACTCAGGGTCCCTCATCCTTAGAATGGAGAATTTTTTTTAATGCCTCAATAAATAGTTACCTTCCCAAATTAAACAAAAATAATTTATTTCTGAATAAAAAGCCATAGGGCCTAAATAAAGCCCTGTTTTACCATACTCACCCCAGGCCACCCCCAGAATTTCCACGGTTTTTATTTGAAAAGAGGCCAAAAGGAATTGAGATTGGTTAGTTTATAAATCAAAACAAAAACAAACATGACACAAAGTTTCTGTTTTTGTTCATTTGTCCTCAGTTTTTAAAAACAAAAGTATTAACTAGAACCTAATAACAAATCAAACCCAAACACAGCAGTCCAGTGGAGAATCAAAACTTTCCTGGTTTTATTCTCTGGGAAAACCCCTGGTCTGTTTCCACTTTTATTGATCCAGGCCAGAATCCTATGCGGTAGACGGCACCTATGGGAAAGCAGGGTGAGTGTGCAAGGTGTGAGCTGGAGCCACCTGTTGTTCGGGTGCCCTCAGGGGACAGTGTTTCACAAGGTGGTAGTCTCACCAGTGTTGTTCTAACCCCAGAGACGGAGTGAGGTGAGCAAGGCACTCACTTTGGGCACAGAATTTAAAGGGTGCCCCAAAACTCAATAAACCAACCTACTATCTTAGTGCAGTATTTTTTGAAAATCAAGACCAACGTAAAAAATCCACAGTATCAAATCCACTAAGTATCAAAATTTTAAAGATAGGATTCAACCTGCTCAATTCAGCTTATTTCCCTCACCCTAATCTCAGTCCCGTTGGATTCTGTCTTCAAGATTTTGGTATTTTATTCATTATGGATATTTTTGCATTATTTTTGAAACACTGTGTTAAAACAGTATTCATCTTAATTACTGAGTTTTTCAATACTCCTTACATTTTGTACCCAAGGGAAGTGCTCATCTCCTACTAGTCCCAGCCCTGCCCAGAAATATATACATCCCCTCCTTTGGAACCTATCTCCTTTGACCTCATTGCTTCTTTAAAACCATCCTATTTTCAAATAAAAGCCTAAGTATTAATAGCTATAGGAAATTATTAAATCAACAGACATCAGATTTAAAAAATAAGTGACCTTCAAGTTTGCTGAGGAGAGAGTAACCTTGCTAAATTGTGAGCAGTTCCAATGAAGAGGATGGTCTTGATGGGCTTTGTTACCAAGGGGTATGGTGGGATGACAACTTTCCTGATGGGGCAGAAGCAACAAATGGCAATTACAGGTCTCCAACACACACATCCAGCCCTCGTCCGGTTTAGAGCAAATGTGGGGATTACAGTCCATGAGATGGGTTAGGAGTACATATCTCAAAAGAGAAATCCACGTACAGAAAAATAGCCCCAATTAACACTCTGGACACTTAAGTACACTTATTCCCCTTCTTCGTATGCACCCAGGAGTGTATACAATTGCATAGTTGATTTTTTTCCCCCAGAAAAAAAAAAGAAAGAAAAAGGAAAATTGGCCCAGGATAGGTTCTCCAGTTTAAAGCTCTTAGAAATGGTGCTGGCCAGAGTGAAGGCTGGCCAGATTTGTGCTTTGTGCAAAACGCAAAGGGGCTTCCCCTTCTGTGTCCATTGTCCCACTCCACCCCCTGGGGAAAAGGGTTGAGTCAGGGGAAGGGGGAAAACCCAAAGAACATATCAGCTCATTGGGAGGAATCTGTGATCTGTGGTTACAGTTCACTAAAATATATTTCTCTAACTACCTTTTTTATAAATTGCCCCTAACCCCTACCCCCGCGTTTTAACATCAATCCTATTATCAAAAATATGTCTTCTTACAAAGTATTTTTTTAATTATTTTAATAAACTAACCACAGATTAAGGTCAGCTATGGCTTAACAAAAGAAGCCGGGATGTTAAGTTCATTCTCCAAAAGTAGAGAGGAAGGAGAAAGAATCACTTAAATAGGAAAAAACAAAAACAAAAACAACCACTTTTTTAAAACGGTTTTGTTCACTGGGGTCTTTTTCTTTTCCTTAAAAACAAAAAAGTCAAAATAAGTTGCTTTCTACAGAAATGCAGCAGCAGAGGATGGTAGTGTTCTATTTAGGTTTTTGGTTTTGTTTAAAACAGTCCGGCCAGAGGTCTGTCCTGCTCCCACCCTTCCCGGGGTGCACTCAAACCTCGCTGTGTGGTTATTGCTAAGTAGTTACAAAAGGATCACCTGTGCACCCGCTGCCTGGAGAAGATTCAGCCCACACAGCTGCTCTTCTTGTCACTCCTCCCTTCCCCAGAGGGAACTTTTTGTATTTAAATAAAATTAAAGTCGTTTAAAAAAAAAATCACAATCTTAACTTAGCTGAGGCTCAGCCCTCAAAAAGGATGAGGAAAAGATAGAGGGCGATCAGCAAGACTGTTTAGAAGGAAATAAAACTCGAGAGGAAAAGGATTCCCCTTTTAAGTTCTTCCCTTTCCCATCTCAACAAACCAATTTAAACTAACCCCCTCCTAATAAGCACCTGTGAGCACACATTACTGCCTAGTCTTTCCAGATCCTTCAGGAGGAAGAATTTATCCAACCCTAATTCCTACCTTAATTCAAACCAATAGCAAATTTATCTAATTTCCCAGTTTCCCTCCACACTCCCAACTCCACCGTCATGTGCTTTTTTCCAACCTACAAGGACTTTGGTCTGTTTTTTCTTTTATTGACTGAGAACCTCCTTTGCCTGCTCCCCCCCCCCCCCCCCCCACTTCTGCCCACCTCCCCACTCCCACACACTAAACCTTCCCCTCTTTCCCTTAGGTCCTGGGGTGTACCCAAGCAGTTATGAGACAGAATCAGCATCTCCCCGCCCCACCCCATACTTCCTCAGTCCCATCAAGATTGGCAAAGGACCAGTGGAGCCCTCCAGGCACCGTCTGGCCCTGCCCTGCTCTTGCCAGCCTGGCTGCTCTCCAGCGCGCACCCACTTCAAAGTTTCCAGCCAGGCTCCCACCAACGTTACTGCATTTGCCCCATTTGCATGGGGGCTGGGTCTTGATGAGCCAATTAGTGGAGCTTAACTCTCTTTGTTTAGCCCCCTTGCCCTCCAAGGTTCCCCCACTCAGAACCTGTGCACCAGCAGCTCCCCACCGGGTTCCCGCTCCCTCCTCCTCAGTTCTTCCCTGTAACAGCAGGAGCAGAAGTTGTTTGTCTCCGGGTGTCCATAGAAGCTGCAGTTCGGTTGTTTGCATTTGGTCTGGGCCGGAGGAAGCCCCCGGGGACCTCCAGCCCATCCATCTGGCTCAGGGGGCTCTCTGTAGCCGTTGCTATAGGAATCAGCCACGCGGAAGGGGAGTGGTAACAACGCACCCCTGTGACCGCCATCCTTGGAGTGACTGCCTGGCTCCAGAGAAGGGATGCAGTCCTGATGGGGGTAGGGTCGCCCTGGAGGGCACTGTCTGGGGAAGGTGGCATATGGTGGTAGGCCTCCCCCACAAGGACCCCCTGCCAGCTGCCGCCGGGGCTCCTGGCAGTGGACCCCAGCCCCTGTAGACCGAGGGACAGTAAAGCCCCCGGGGTAGCCAGCAGAGAATGCCATCGCCTTGGACTCTGCTGGAGGGGCAGTCAGCAACTCCTCCCCACCATCTGGCTCTGGCTTTTTGGCTGGAGGAGGCCCGCCGCCTAGCCCTCCATTCAGGAGCTTCCTCTCTGCTTCCTTCTGCTTCTGCTCTGCCAGGAATCGCTCTTCAGCATCAGAAAGGTAGCGCTGGATCATTTCCTCCTGATACTGATGGCGGTGACCCATCTTCAGGGTTCCAACAAAAATAAACTTCCCCTCCCCTTGCATTGCAATCCTCATGATGCTCAGGCTTTGCATCACCTCCTGGCTATACTTGCTCCCTCCGTTACCGACAGACTCCGCCGTGGGCTTCTCAGACACAGGCCCGTCCCCGGCTGCCTCCTCCTTGCCCCCCTTCCAGCTCTTCAGGGAGTTCTTCTTCTTCTTCTCCAGTGTCTCAGTGCCGCTGCTTACCCCCGCCCCTGCTCCCATCCCTCCGGGCTTAGAACCCTTGCTGTGCATCAGGCCGCCCATGTTCTTCTTGAGCTTGCTGCCCAAGGTTTTGCCAAAGCTGCCCAGTTTGTTAGCCACGGAGTCTGCTCTCTTCTTGTCTTTCTCTCGACCTCGTTTTGCCTTCTCTTTCCGCTTGCTGCCCTCATTGCTCGTGGAACTGCTGCCGACGGACTCTTTGTCTGATTCCCCAGACTCAGGAGTGGACCGGGGCTCATCTCCAGCTGAGGCTGTGGGGGACTCAGGTTGGGCCAGAGGAGCCTGAGGGGAAATTAGAGCAGTGTTATGGTTGTCCCATTGGTCTCGTTGAGGGAAGTCCCCGGGGACCCTAGCTCATACCTCTGGGTCATGGGGCTCGCTGCAGCGTTGCTACAGGCATTAGCCAGGTGGAAAAGGGCTGCTAACCCCCCTATAAACCCCATCCCTGGAGAGCCTGCCTACTTTCAGAGAAGGACTGCTGTCATGGCAGGCGAGGGGTTACCTAGGAGGGCACTGTCCTTTCTCAGCTCCAGTCAGCTCTCCCATGGACCAGGGAGCGATGTGTCTACTAGCTAACTTTTACCTCGCCCCCGCAATTTGACTCCCTCCTGTAATAAGGAGATGTCAAAGTGAAGCCTGAGGCTCTTCTGCAGCAATGAGCAACTAACACAATACCCGGCCTCTGGGTAAGGAGGAAGAATATCCATAGACACTAGAGTGTGTCCTTTGTTATAAATTTCTCTATACCAGATTCTGCCCAGAGGTAATCTCAACGAAGTCTTGACTAACCATAGCCAGGTCTGACCATTCTGCATCCCCCCAACTTTTAGACATTCAGCACTGGAGTCCATCAGTTTGCCTTTGCTCCTGTGTTCCTGCTCTATGCATAATGATGACAGCCTCCGAACCTCCTGGATCGAGATCTCTTAAGCTATTCTGTCTCCTCTTGTACCCACCACCACAGAGGTCTATATATACAAGGCTTGGGACAAAGTAATGACCATCTCAAGTTGACCAAAGTATCTAGGAAACTTTTCTTGAAGAATGTGTTTTAGTATCACAAAGTAGAGCTTGGCTGGAGAGGAGCTATGGAAAACAGAGGGCACTAACAGATAGAAAGGCAGGAAAAAGTGTCGTTTGGAACTTACCCAGTTATTCCTAACCTTGAATTACAAGCTACCATTCGGAAGGGATTCAGAAGGAGACCACCACCAGGTCTCCTTGGCTTCCCTTCATTGCAAATGAGGGCGCAGAAGTCCTCACCTGTGCATCAGAGGACACTGGGATCCACTTCACATTCATGTAGCCATGCAGCAGGTGCAATTTGACCTCTAGGGACAGGATTACACTGTGAGGAGGAGAAAAAGAATTAAAAACATACTGTGACCTTTAAAAGGCAAAGCAGTATGAGCCGGCTGGGAGATAGGATGGGAGAGGGCTACATGGCTTGGGACTCTGATGAGGTTGAATTCTAGGTCCACCAATTAGTGTTTCTATGGCCCGGAGGCAAGCCACTTCACCCTCCCTAAAACTCAGTTGGGGTTGATAATGGGTGTAGATAACATCTACCCTGTAGGGTTGTTATGAAGATTAAAACAGTATTTGGAAAGGACCCAGGATAATGTCTGGAATACAGGAAATACTAAACAGTAGCCATTATTACTGCTGCTAGTATAAATATTAAGAGAGAGTTTTTGATAGGTAGGTGAGAACATACTTTAAAAGCCATAAACTCTGAATTTTTAAATCAAACCCTCTCAATTGGATCCCCAGGGTCAGGGAACCCAAAGAAGGAAACACTGTGTCAGAGGGAAGGGCAGAACTTTTATATTCATACACTGTTCCCTGGAAGCTGTGGAGGGCTCAGGTAGAAGACTAAACCCACTGGAGGGCTTGGGGGAGGGTGACGGGCAGGGAGAACAAATCTTTCTGGCTATTTAAATTCCAGAAAGGCAACAATCCAGAGCAAACCACTTTGGCCAATTATTTAAAAACCCCTCTCATGGGGCACCTGGCTAGCTCAGTCAGTACAGCCTGCGACTCTTGTAAGTTTGAGCCCTGTGTTAGGTGTAGAGATCACTTAAAGGGTAAAATCTTTAGGGGCGTCTGGGTGGCTGAGTCAGCTGAGTGTCCAACTCTTGATTTCAGCTCAGGTCATGATCTCATGGTTCATGGGTTTGGGCCCCAAGTTAGCCTCTGCACTGGCAGTGAGGAGGCTGCTTGGGTTTCTCTCTCTACCTCTCTGTGTCCCTCTCCCATTCACTCACTCACTCACTCTCATAAATAAATAAATAATCAATCTTAAAAATTTTTTTTTAAAATAGGGGTGCCTGGGTGGCTAAGTCAGTTAAGCATCTGACTCTTG